CGTACACACTATGCTGTTTGCGAAAGCGTGGGCGCTCAGCACCACACTCATGCAGGCACGAAGTTACTCTGCATCCTGATTGATTCTATGGCCGAATACTTAAGGAAACAGAGATAAACTATTATCTTGCTGAAAAAGAAGTGCGTGCGCTACTTTTTTGTTAAAGGTGTTACACACAGCTATCTGAACGGACATTACATGTCTACACGCGGTTTCGACGCTTGAATGGATACATAATTTGAAGTCGCTTTTCGGCCGAGCTGTACAGTTCTCTGTACTACTATCGCCATGACACTTGAAAGTAAAGCGTGTTAAAGAGAAGGATTGCGCGTTTGATCAGCTGATACAGTCGACGAATTTAAATTAAGTTGATCTTGAGGACTCGGTAGCCCCGATAGTGCCACCGACAAAACGTTCGCGCCAACAGTTCACATGGACCCCAACTTGCTGTATGCCCGGCGGCCTAAGGACTACCGAGAATACGTTATGTCTTTTGGTGGATCAGCTAAAACGGAGAAGATTGGAGGTTACGGTAGCTTGGTCGTGGATTGTATGGCGACTTCCTGGGCGAGCAAAAAGTGATCGCTGCGAGCGCTTATCTTGAGCACACCGCCGTGAATCTTGCCGAGTACACCGAAATGAATCATGGTACTGACCGCTCTTGCGTATGGCGTTGAAAATCGGGCCATAGTCGGTGACTTGAGACTCGCAATCCAGCAATCCCTAGGGATCGCTTGCAGGAAGGAGTCGCTGAGGGCTTTGCCGAACTGACACATGTAGGGCACACCGAGACTTCGGTCTACGAAGTGCCTTCATGTGTTGAGAGAGTACAATGCTGTTGCTGATTTCGAGCAAGCGAAGCACTGGAAGTGAAGGTGTCGGGAAGAGTACTCAGCTTGGACAGGAAGGTCGAGCTTTCTAGTATAAACATGATGCTTGAGATGATCTACGAGTCTCCAGAAGCGTGTTATGAGGATATAAAACCAGACTTCGACAATTGCGCTCAAATTCTGGATGCTAAAGCGATGCTAACACGTCGGGCATTTGTGAATTGTGTGCGACCGGAGCTGGTAATGACACAGCGGCAGAAGAAAGCACAGAAGAAGCAGGCTCAATTTGCGGATGAAGTACCGGATGAGACAAGTGAAGAGCGACAGCCAGCAGAAACGACTAGTGAAAAGCGACACAGGAAACCCGACCCGACAAGCGCAGAGGACCTGAACCCAATGGCGCTGTAAGAAGCGGGAGACCTCGTAGTTTTAAGGCTCAAGTCGAGGAAGCACGGTGGTCAGCATGAAAGCACTGCTGCGAGGCGATGTTGGCAAGCTTGGCTATAAAGCCGCATGGAACGCTGGTAACGTTGTCGACAGGTCCATGTTGACGGATGTTGATCTGCTGTACTACCTGGGTGCAAGGCGCAGACGAGACCAAGAACACGATGAAAAAGTGAAGCTACGGCTGGTTATTCCTACAACTATGTATAAGAAGTACTACAGAGCTGTCACGAATCTATTGAAGGATGTCACTAGGGTGACGTACCAGGGCGTGAAGCTGGCCTACTATTGGTATGGCCTGTACGCCGACGTAGAGAAGCACGCTAAGTCGTGACCCGACTGCTGCTCAAGTAAGAGCCGACCACAGCTTCGAGAGTACTTGCCTGGCAGCATTTTGGCCGAGCGACCCTTTCACATTGTGTCTATGGACTTCGTGATACCCTGCCCAGGTCTCACCAAGACAACACAGCGCTTCTGCTTTTCCAGTGTTCGCTTGCTGATTTTGTCATAGCCAGGGCAATGGCTGACACGTCTGCACTCATGGTTGCACAAGCGCTCGAAGGGCGTATTCACAGACAGGCTGGTGCTCCGTCTCTCACCCGACATGGTCGTGACCCTCGCTTCTGAGCGAGGTGCTCCAAGGATTCGTCGATATGACGCAGTCAAGGTCGTGCGCTACGCTTAGCTACTGGCCACAAGCCAACAGACAGCAAGAGCGGTCGATGAAAACCGTAATGCAGTCAGTCAAGGTGTATGTCGAGGATCCACTGCAACAAGACTAGGATGAGATTGCAGAACGGCTGGTATTTGCAATTACCGAATAGCCTTAGTTATGAATTACTCTTTGTTATCAATTACACTTCAATGTGGCCAATCAGAAGCCGCCAAACGCTGAGTGGGAAATGAAGCCGTGCATCCTTAGTTATCAATTACACGGCTTGACAACCATTAATTTGCGTACATTATCTAGTACTGGTCTCACTTCTCAAAGCCGCAGATGAGTCCAACGCAACGAAAACGCCCAAAGGGGAGGCCTCGCCTACCTGGTGGCAAGGGCCGCCAAGCACCAACGAACACCATTACGGCGTACACTGCTTCTCACAAGCTGAGGGTACTAGAGTATCTAGACAAGAACGGTAGTATTGCGTCCGCAATTCACACGTTCTACCCTGATTTATCAGCTAGCAAATTTAATTGCCGCCGTATCCTCATTTATTCATGGCGTCGATCCCTTTGATGATCTTTTTCGTGAACTTGCTCAAATTTAAATAGACTGTTTGTTCGAAGATACCGATAGCCGGGACACGCAATTTCTGGTCTCTGCACTGCAGATTGGGTGTAATGCATAACTAAGGTAATTCGGTAACAACTCTGACGATGCGACAAGAAAAGAGACTCCATTCAACCTTGTCCATGGATGGGATGCACACTTAACACTGCAAGAAATGATGTCGGCGCTTCGCCGAGGTTCCGGCAAGCCGTCTGATGCGCTCGTGTGGTGACGTGAAATGAACGTGGCCAAAACAATATCAAGCTGTGGAAAATGCAGGCAGCACCAGAGATCGCAATGATGCGCTTAGTCGAAAGAAAAGGGCGGTGGGGCCTCAACGATTTGATAATGGCGAAACTTCCCATCACCAATGTAGCGACGACATTGATGACGAATTCACCCAAAAGGTAACCAAGGCTTTTTGTGAGCCGGGTAGCCGCGTTTGGTTGTATGTGGAATGTACCAAGTCTGGCTTGACCAAGCAATTTGCGCACCGATGGCATGTACCGTTTAGAGTGAAGCGGAAGGTGGAAGAGTATACATTCGAGTCAGAATTGCCTGACCGAAGTAGTTACTGCTATATCCGGTTGTATATGTCTGGCCTTTGAAGACTGTGAGCGAATTCGAAGATCGACAAGGACTCGGTTGGCCCACGATGTGACCGAAGCATCACGTTTCGAGCGACGAGTAGCTCTTGCTGGAAGATAGATGGGAGCCAGATCATCTTGCCAGTGGAAGTGTGGGTAGGACAATACTCGATAACCGTATGCCGATGTCTACGAGGACAGGCCATGATGTACGCGAATTCAATATCCAAGAGAACGACCAAGATGAGCCTATGTGGGAACCGATCACGAACCTCCTGTGTGGTTGTATGTGGTCCGACTACTTGCGTCGGAAGCACAGTGAACACCGCCTTCCGATGGTTAAAATCACAGACGAAGACTAATCAATGTCACCAACAATGATGATGACCTGTTCTTGGGGCAATGCAGCCCAAGGACGCAAACGAACAATGCGGTAGAAACATCATTCATATTACGTGTGCATCGTGACGGAACTCTCAATATAGAAATGAAGTACAAGAAAGAAAATGAACCCAAGGATACGCCACCGACACTGCGACTGAAACCTGGGCTGTGGTGGATTGACCACCAGCTGCACAAGCGATCGTACACCTTCCGTGAGACGAGAACTGAAGAGAGCTATATGTCGATCCGACGTTTTGCCAGCAGCGCCCGCCAAGTGACGTTGCAGCGCTGTACCTTCGATATCCGACGTACGTGGAGCCGGAAGATGCAATGGTGCATTCATCTCTGATAATAACGAGCTTTCAGTCAACGTTTGAAGCCAATATCACTGAACGTTACGGTTCCAGCAACTTACCGCTGGTTGTAAAGTTACTTGGGTCGTGTTAGTGACCAACGGCGTACTTAAAGCTGGTGGTGATGCCGTGGCGCTTGCCGTCGTCGTGGAGCAACGGTGTCGAAACTGGCGTTTGGAGTGTTATCGCCGCCATACTCGTCGTCGACGAGCTGGGCGGCATCAGCGACATCACTGAACACATCAACAGCACAAGAACTACACCATTTCACGGCGTTTTTCACAAAGTCAACAGTCAAACTCAAAAAGTGCGCACTGATTTTTAAATGAAACTACAAAACTTTATTTTATTGAGAAAATCTTAATGGTAGGCACATGTAGTGTTTCTCTCGGCGGGGCACTATGCACAGTTTTGGCGCGAATACTGCTCTCTGCGTCTAGCTCCGTCATTTTTAGATTGGCGCCATGTCGGGGGTCTCCTACCAGCACTACAGCGCAAGGTTTGTTGCTGCATTCTTCATGTAGCTCTGGCGGCAAAGAACTGGAAGGTTGTCGCGGAGCTTCATGGCGCGAGCGAGCACTGCTGGTCGTGCTTATGCTTGCCAACGCCCACTGTCAGAAATGGGGGAAGGATGTGCTTGCCGAGTAGGAATTCGCAGGCGCGGAGATGCTGAAGTTGGAGCCGTACTCCCCATGCTTAACCCGATAGAGAATGTATTCTCTACTTACAAAAGTCATGTTAAGCGCTTCCTCGCACGACAGCGACCGGCAATTTCGCGCGTCCCAGCAGACACGACTATAACGGAGCATCGCTCTGGTTTTCTTGAGCTTGCAGCCGACCCTCTCTTCGCGGAAGTCGTTGCACCCGAGCTGTGCAACTGCGCGCTTTGTCACTCGTTGCCGCATCACCAACGCGCACTTCGCTTCGAGGATATGCAAGCTGGGGCTTGAACATATTTGACGGGGAAATTATATTATAAGGGTAACAAATCTGACGGGGTTTTGAATTTCAGTGCGCACTTTTTGAGTTTGACTGTTGACTTTGTGAATAACGCCGTACAAAGGTGTATAATCATAAGGTGTACAAGCAGTTAGAAAAGAAAGGAGCATTTTAACGCTCCGTGGAGGTAGCGTTAGAAGCAGCAGGAGGCACGGACGTCACAGCCGAGGCTTTGTGGTGTTGCAGCAGCCGGAGCCATGTTCTGCATAAAAAGAGCAAGAACCATCATAGCAATCACACATTTAAAACAAGGTCTTCACGCAGTTGTATACACAACTAAAAGCAGGGACGTACCGTTGATGAAGCTTGGCCTTCGCTACTGAGCCAAAAGGCGACACGGTGAGCTTCGTCAAGACCGCGGGGCGACTTGGACATGACGCTGAAAACGCAGGCACCACGCCGTTCGGCTTTGCCCAGGTTCGAGGTGCGGTGGGGGCATTTGTGGTGTCGGGAAACGCCCAAAATCGAAGCCATCCTCGCCGCCGCCGTTGCCGCAGGTTTTTATTGACAAGGACCAGTTGGAAACGAGTGGCCAATCGCCGATTGGCTGAAAGGGGGCCGCGGGAGAGTGACTGAGTCACTCAGACGAGAAGGTTTGTCATACCCCACAATGCAACGACGGACCATGACTGGGCGTATCCGAATGGTATCCGGAGGCGACTCTTCAAGGCCTGGCCGACGAAACCTTGGTGGCTACAAGATCTCTTCATAACAGACAAGTTCACACTTGATATTTGTAAATGATATAGGAAAGAGTAGATTATGCGATAAGCGCCTTCGTGCGCAACTAACAGAGCAGCGTTTCCTCCCGATCGCAAGAGTCAAGTCCAGCTGCGGTAAGTGTCCGTAGTGCCAGGTCCCTCTTGCTCGCCAGGATTATGCCTGCTGGTGACCACGTTTGCTAAAGGAGCAAGTGATCACCCACCCGGCGAAGCTAAGCGACGAGAAGGAAATGACTGTGCTAAGTCAAGTGCTGATGACAAGAAGCCCGACCCTGAGGAGTGTAATAAAGAACCTCCTTATACCTACAAATTGAGAGAACCAAGCTCCTGTCGCCCTCGCTTACCGGCTAAACAAGCCCTGGACCTTACCCTACTGAGGACCAGCGAGGTTACTGCAAGTGTGCGCGTGGTCTCCTAGTCGTTACTAGTGCTGTGGAAGAACTCAGTGTATCTACCAACAGAGTCAATGCGCACAGAGTCTATTATTTTTCCGGTGCTAGGACTGAGTCAAGGCCTTCAGGTTGAAGCTTCACCCAAATATTCGCTAGGTCTTTGCGGACTTCGCGTATGTTGTGGGTGGGAAGTATTGGCAGAACTAAAATCTGGCGTGTTCCTACACGACACTCCGTTTGTGATTATCCAGAAATTGAACTCAAGTTTAACTGTGATTTTTGTATCAGAAATAGTGACACACTTGAGTGTCCATTCTCGCCCTGTTGGACAGCGGGTAGCCATAATAGGCCACAGGCTAAGAAAGTGAATTTTTCGTCAGTTATGTGCATGTACCTTATATAGCAGTATTTGCTCACGATACAACGCTATCTGGCGCAATTCAAATTTAAAACGCCTTAATAATTCTAAGCTGCGATATTTTCGCATATAGCTCAATCACTTTTAATATAACTAGGCTGCAGCTGTAATATTCAAGTATACATAACAGCGTGGTATCATTGGCAAAAATATGTATCTGAAGCTAGTGCGACATCGTATTATCTATAATATATCTGGTTTTCGCGAAATCCTGGCCATTTAATTTGGAAAAAAGTCAAAGCACAGAGAGGAAGCTCAGATTCACTTGTCAATTACCAAGATGCCCAGTACAGCCAGCCAAGTGTTCGACCGCCTCAACCGACAGTGGGAGGACGAGACCTCCAACCTCATTGGCAAGTTGGAAAGTGAGGAAGATGAAGTGTCTCGCTGCTGTATTTGCACTTGTAGAGTACCTGATATTGTACTGGCGAGATGAAATGCAACACCAAACATTGCCCTTTCACAACTTCTCACCCAATTACCCAATTTATATAAGCTTTTTTTTGTTGGAAAGATAATGATTTCTTCTCTTAAGTAGTCATAATCATCCTTGAATATCTGCTCAAATTCACATGCTACACTTAATCGAAAAGTGCGTGTCTTTCGTTCCGCCCAAAAAATCGAGGCTATGTTCTTGACATACGACCCTAAGACATATGCTAGACGACCTAGCCTACCAAAGCACCCAAAACTACCGCTCGTTAAAAACGGTCAGACGTGCTTGCGATTTTTTTCTACACCTTTTCGCCTTCAAAATGGCAAATTTAGTTCAATGTGGCAAAGTGTAAATTCAAATTGTCATCATGAAAAAAAGGGGCCGACGCAACTGCTTTTACTGCTGTCAATCAAATCTGATTTCACTAGTTGGGCTGGACCATCGCGCCGTTAGCGCCGTCAATTGTTCACCATGGGCGACAGGCAAAAATCGTGGCACCGTAATGATGGTGGGTGAATGCAGCATTCCAATAAAGAACGGCAAACCGAGTCGGTAATTTCCGCGCAAAAGTGTTTATTGATCAAGACCTGTACTATCTAATCACTTGTCATACTCTCTGAGTTGTTCTAATCGCATTTGATCGATTTTCAGACTAGGTATCATTTTGAATTTACATTTTCATCTTGAACTTCGAATTTGCCATTTTGAAGGTGAAAAGGTGTAATAATACCTCCTTCAGCGCAGATGTTATTTGGTCATACTTCAAAAGTAGGACCAGTACTTTGTAAATGTCGGATCTCTACCATTAAATTATTTTGGGGTGATCTCTTTCCCCTATGAAGATTTGTACGAAATCCCATCGCAAGTGTCTTGCGGATCAACCCTCTTGTGAATGGCATCTCCGTATAAGTTGTAGTACCACTCCTCATCTACATCGAACTTCTCGATGAGAGACGATGCTTCTGCAGCTGCAGTGTCGTACAAGTTTGCGGCGTCGAGGAACTTCATCGCGTTGATCTTCTTGTAGGTACGACCTGTCATCTCCTGGAACTTTCGCACGCGGAAGTCACGAATCAACTTGCCCACCTTGATGCCATCTGGGGTACTGGTGGTCTCACTATCGACGACGTTGGCATCCAGCTCGGGATCCGACGTCATACTACGCCGATTCCAGTTGGCCGAACCATCTGATAAATACACGTCATCGACGACTACCAATTTGCTGTGGACGTAGACGTCCAGCTTTGGCTTCATCGCGTAAATCTTAAACTTGTTTGGGAACTTCTCCTTGATGGCCTGAACATTTTGGTACATGTATTTCTCGTAGCCAGCACTCTTGGTTATCAATTCCGGTGGCTGCACAACGACCATCAGCCGCTGAAGACCCGGTAATACTTCCAGTAGCGCGTCCAGTAGTTCCGGCACGAGGATGAAGTACTGGTCTTCAATATACACGAAATTCTTGGCGCTCTTGATGGCCTTGATACGCGCATGGAAGAGCGAGTTTTCGCCATTCGGAGCGAATTCCCAGTGTTTGTACTTGCAGCTGAAAGTTCGCACGATCTGTACATTCTGGTTGCCAAGTTTCGACGTGCTGTTGCTACTCGCATAGTCGAGTGGTGGCAGGTAGGAATATTGCGGGTTCTCAAAGTTGACGAGGTCGTCACCAAGACTCTGCGTCGGCAAATAGGGTGAGTTCCAACGGGCGAGGAAGTTGTTAGCCACGTCTTTCGCCGCTGGTCCGTGGATGCGCATGCTGCTGTCGACCCAGCCATTCTGCCGGAAATGAACGGCAGATTGTTTACGGATCGCAGTTGCATTGTGGTGAATGGTATCCCAGCGATCGTTTGAGAGGTCGATGCCGCCCACATACGCCACTGGGTGGTCGTCTTTGCCTGTAGAGTTCCCGGAAGCGATCACAAGCGCCTTCTGGTGCTGCGAGGACATGCCGTAAGGGAGACGATCATCGAAGATGAACAACGCGTTGCCGTCATTGATTCCAGACTTTGGGAGTTTGTTGATCTTGTTGCGCACTTTAACGTCCTGGAAGAAAAGAAACTTGTTAGCCCAGCCCAGAATCTTGACGTCGCCTCCACGTTTCACGACGCCGCCAAAGACGATATCGAAATTTGACGTGGCTCCAGTTGGGTCTACGTCGGGCTTGAATGGGATGAGATCAGTATTCCAGGAAGCGAGCATGACGCGGTCGTTCTCTTTTGTCGTCGTGAGATCATCAAAGACCGAGTCGAAAAACTCCTTCGTTACCGTAAAGGTAGTCACGGCGTTGCCTGTACTGTAGGTCGCCATGTCACTGCGAGGGGATCCTCCTCGTGAAGCGGTGATCTCCTCCTCTGTGAGAAACCAGTCGGTGGCCTTCAAAAGAGGTTGCTGTATCTTGATATCTGCGCCGCCCGACTTGTCGACAGTGGAGTTGTCTGAGCCTGAATTCGTGTCGCCATCGCCATCAAACAGGGATGAGAATGACCATGCCATCGATGAAGATGGAGCTAGAGCCAGCATGCAAAAACATACGATAGTGAATCTGGCTACCCTCATTTTCCCCCTCTCCATTGTTGGCGAGCGAGGAGCGAGCCACCCGGCGCAAAAATGGTTGTGAGAGGCAGAATGCCCATGATAAATGTTGCTTGGGCCACAATAGCTAATGTGTTGCTGGATAAGCCAACTTGGCTGTGATGGGCAGAAATGCAAGTCGTGGGAAAAGTGGCTTTTTCTTGCAAATCGCCAAATGCCGTAGCCTAAAATTAAAAATGGTGTGTCTCCACACAGCCTTAAATTAGATCTCACAAGAACGGGCCATTTGCACGATGGTTGGTAAAACTGGTAACTTGGCCGGGAAATGGTGTATAGTTGTAGTATTGAAGGACGGATTCTTCCTGTTCGGAGAAGCCATTCTGGGATGGGAGGATGAGATCTCGACATCATCGTCCTTCGTGCCACATTTTTGAATTGTTTCGTGGAATGCTGGTACGGTATAACGTTTGTTGCTTTTTACCGTCTTTGGTAAATGAATCTCAATGAATAGCACCAATTTGGCATCACAACTGCAAGGACCGCATCAACGAGTGATCTACTGCTGCGTTTTCCGTATTACTGTACTGGCCTCGCCCTCATCCTTACACGAGCACTTTGAATTTGGTGTTTGTTTACAGTATACATGTACTGTGGGAGACAATAATCACAGAACATTTCCTTATTGGACCCCATTATATGGGATCCAATAATATGGTTTTTTGCGATTGGACGGTTCCAGTGTACTGTAGAACAAGCCCCATTTCACATGTACACCGTTCACGCTAATTAGTCGTGGTTCGAATATAGTCGTACTTCGTACTTTTTAAGGACAAGACAGTACTATTACCAGATTTAGTCGTTCAGCCACTCAGTCGCTGTCAAGATCCTGTGCAGTTAGTAACTGTCAGTTATACGTATTTTAGAATTGCCCATGAGCACCGACGGAAAGCGTTCTCTGCAGCATGTTGTCGCTGTCAGTGACAGAGTCAATTGTGCGCTCGTCAAGTAACATGTATTTATAATCAGTGAGCAGTGTTCACTATAGCATATCAAAACAGTATACTACAGCAAGCTCCGCAGCATTCCGCTTCATTCATTATCTACTCCCCTTCACTTTGAGCTGGGGATGGCTGTGTTTGAAATGAATGCATCTGCGGTACTATCTCCGGTACCATTCCAGGAATTGGCAGTCATAGCCACATTTTAGATTCAGTATAGCAAGAAGAGTTAACCCCTTGGTTCCCGACGTCTTAAGTTACGGACATGACACATTTATTATGTTGTAACTTACGGCATAGCAGAAACAACAATAGAAAATGGCTCGGAAACAGAAATCCAATACTTTAATCAAGTCATTTCAAAATTATTAAATTCAACAGTTAAATGAGAAAAAAACGAGTTAGGGATCAGGGACGAGCGGGAACGATGGGATGCACGGGAAAATATCCGGCCGCCACTCAGTGGCCCACATCCAGATACCACTCATTATCGATTTTGCCTCATGGCGCGCATTCGCTCAGAGAACCGCACGAGAACGG